GCTCCTGTGAAACAGCTCCAATCAAACTGCAGCAGATTAACAAGTCAGAGAAGACAACAATAATAACAAAAAAAGAATTTAACAGCATTTAAATAAATTAATTATTAAAACTGTGTTTTCCTGAGCTAGTAGAAATGAGTTTAGCAACAAGATCTTTTCTGCCATGACTTGAGAGCTATCAGTTTGGTCTATCAGAAGTCACACAGGAATTTTTAATGGCAGTTTTTAGTGTAAGTAAATACTATCCTAAATTCCATTCCAAATCCTTTATTTGATTCTTGCAGGTACCTACTAAAATTCTAAAACCAGTAAAGAAAATAATTCTCCTCTGCCATTCATTTGTTCTTAACTCAACATCAGGAAGTTGCAATGGCTTATCAGTAGAAGCTTCTCGGGAGGTTGTTCATTAAAAACATCTTCTGATCACTGGGGCTGAATACCAAGACCAGGTGCAGAATTCTGATCCCCAAGCTACAGAACCACTGTAAGAGTTGGCACAATTCCCTCTGGAAGCAAGGTCAGGCCTAAATGCATGCAAATCCCAGGTCTGAAGTCATGGAAGACACAGACTGTAAGACAAAACAGAAATCTCTGAACTGAATTCTTTCTTCATCAGCACACAAAAGTCTCATGAATAAAGCAGTGTTGTAATTCATCACTATGAGAAGGAAGCATTCTAATATTTTCTGTATGATTTGGGGAAATATACATAAAATTTGTCTGCTTGATTCATGGTATGGAATGATACAACTGCCATAGGTTTGGATACCACCATAAATATCCATCTGTCTTTGCTGACCAGAACTCTATCACATTTTTCCCTGGAAAGATATTAATGAAAACCAGCAACTTTAATGACTTGGCTCTGTCTATACAATAGGAATAATACAAAATCAAAATAAAAGTATAATCTTGCCTTTGTAGCAAAGAGAAGATAGAGGGTATAAACATACAAATTTCAGGTTAAAGAGGGAAAGATGCTAGTAGAACATTTAATGGACTCTAAGAAACTAGTGAAGGATTTAGCCAGGAGAAAAGATGAACATATTTAGCCAAAGACTCTCTAGCTCAAGGGCAAACAAGAAAGACACAGGATGTTCCTAATGCAATTCAGAGGGATTAAAACAACTGAAGAAGGTATAACTTCCAGGGTGTGTTATTTTAACACAGATAATTAATGTAGTATGTCATACTGTTACAGTAAAAGACAACAATGGTTTTAGAATCCCTAGCAATATTTTTGGGCATGCTCTCATATCTGTCATGGTACCGTCAGGATTCTGGGAAATTGTTTTTAACCTGAAGTGTGATCTTAAGATAGCTGCTCAGTCGCCTGAGGCAGCTGAACAGGAGATTCAGACACAGGGAACAGTGCTAAAACATGAAACCTTCTTTCAAGTGTTGCTGAGACTCCAGCCTTGGGGCAGTAACCACATTCCCCTCAGTTTCCAAAGCACGTTGGATGCAAGCAGTGCAGCCCAAAACTTCAGTATGGTGAGCAATCAGCTGGAGAGGGAAACCAGATCCCCAACAAACACTACTCAGATTCTCACTGTAAATTGTTCATAATTCCAGTACACATCATATCAGGACAAAAGAGTCTTTCACAAAATGCTAACCTCAAATCCCTTTTGATAAAATAGAAAACCAGTGGTAAACCAGAGAGGGGATTATTCAGTGATAGCAGAGGATCTCTCTCATCACTTGAAACTACTACTTTCTGTTTATGATAATATTCTGATGTTACAGCTCAACTCCAAACCTGCATTAGCAGTACATATAAGAAGCATTACCAAGCAGCTATGGATTAGGAAACAGTAAACAAGGATGCCCACACATCTCAATGAAAGCACATCTACCAATTCCACACCAAGTTCATTGGCACCTGCTGCCTTCAAATAGCAATAAACCTGCAACAATAAATCCTCTACAGCCAGAGTTTATGAAAAAACTTGGGAGTTTATGAAAATCAGACTCAATATAGTATGAGTTTTGTTTAATTCTTCATGCAAATTTTCTGCTTCCTAAAATATATATTTTAATAATTCTGAAAAATATTAAGATTTTTTGAAATTTGTTGCACAAAGTTTATATTACTTAGGGACAGGGTCTTTTAAATTAGTGCACACTGACCTAGAGTGGGCACAGACCCAGAAGCTCTGTCTCTCCTCAGGGTGGGAAGACACTTGAGGCCAGAGCCCTGTGAGTTGTGTTACAGCAGCCCTGTGTCTATCCCAGCAGCTCTGTGTGGGCTCTCAGATGAACCTGAATGAATCTTTGTAGACATACCTTTAAAAAATTCTCTCAGAGCTATGAATATAGATGGAGTTGGTATTTTGGTTGTGTCAACTTTTGACCAATGTGACCTATCTAAAAGTTAATATAATATTAAAAAAAAATCTCCATTACAGATTTTTACAGTCTAGAGTACTAACACTTTATTTACTCTCCTTCTAGTTTAATTGATAATAATAATAGATAATTAATAATTTACATTACTTTAAAATAATGTTTCCTGTCCCAGGTAGGTGGAATTTTGCAGAATAAATACTAACCTGGATTTAAATTGAAGAATGAGATTTACAAATACCTGCATTCAAACCACCCGTGAATACAGAGAAATGATTAAACAAATTCTTGGTGACTTCAGCACTTAGGTCAATACTGACAACTTTTAACCATCTTGCATGACCCTTGCAGACCTTTCTACAACACCAGTTTTTTTCTACAGAGGACAGTGGATATTGCCTCTCCACTTTCAGATGCTCTTCAGGATGGACACAGCTAGCTACTAAACCCACTTCATAGCTGAATAATTTCAATATTACCTTTGTGAATTGACTGCAGAAGCAAATTATTTGTTTAAAATGTCAACCTTTGAACATGAAGCATTTAGTTTATATTTTTTTTCCAAAGTAACCATATCAAAAAATAAAAAAGTAACAGAATTCCAAACACAAACCAATGACTACCTGAACTAATGTCAGAGAAAACAAAGAACTCCCTTGTTCATAGAACTTTCAATTTCTTCCCCTAATCAATGAAGATTTTATTCTTTTCCTCCAGTAAAGATTTTGACCAAATCCTACATTCAATTCAAACCATGTTGCTCACATAACACATAGCAAGTCACAAAGATATGCAGCAAGTGTTTAATCCTCAGTGGAAAATCTAGTGGTTAACCATGCAAACAAATTATTTAACTTTTTGCTCAGGAATCATTGCATTTCCAACTCCAGAGTGGTCAACATCTGCGTGTCATTTCAGGAACACATAGTTATGGTCAGGACATCCAGAGTCTGTATCCCCTAAAGCAGAAGTGTGGAAGTTGAGGTTCTAAGGCACTTGACTCAACCAGACCATTACATCTTCCTTCCCCTGTAAATGATCTGAGGTAATTTCAACAACCAGAGCTGGAAAATTTATCATCAGCTAAATGATTCATGAGTCCACAGAATGCTTAAATTCAGAAAAAGACTGAAAGTAGCAACATGGAAATTGAAAAAAGCATTGAATAAATGCAACCACAAGGGAAAACAATCTAGCATGAGATACCTTTAAAGAGGTATCATGCATAGAGACAAAGACAAAAAGCAATTTTCCTCTCTGTTTGTGAAAAGAGCAATAGTATTTCCAGTGACTTTTATTAAAAAACCACTGAATTGCTCGTAGTCTTTTCCATTAGGAAGATACAGACAAAGGAAGATCCTGTAAAACAGAAGACATCACAAAGATGCATGCAAAAGCAGAATAAATCCTATAGGATAGGAATAATAATAGAATGTGGAAAATACAACCTGTTTGCAACAAATAAGGATGGCATATCTAGGCACAAATGGCATGCAGTAGCTTAAATACTCATCAGAAAAAAACCTTCCCAGTGGAAAAGATGAAATGCATTGTGGAATAATCCATCTTTGGATGTAAGTGCTATTCATGCTTTGAAATACTAGGTGAGTGAAGCACTTCTTTAAAAATTGAATGTTGTCATGTCATACATGGCAGAAAACACTTTTAGCAACTTCCCTTATGCTCAATATAAAAAGAACACAAGATATATCAAAGATAATTTATTTCTGCATTTGCAGAAGCACAGCAAATCAAAGGAAGGACTGAAGTGTAAGAGGCTCTGGTAAAGCTGGTAGTGGCACACAGCCTGAGATTGCCTCTGTACAACTCCCCTGCTGCAATCACTATTTCAGCAGCTCTGGGTCACTGGATAGATTACTTCATCCAAAAGTCTTCTCCCCACCTGTGGAACTTCTCTGAAGCTGTAAACAGGGTGCTCCACATGGCCCAAGAATGGCATGACAGGATCTTCTCTCACATAATTTCTAATGATTCTGCATACTTCAGGAGCAAAATCCTCCTCTTAAATCTACAGTCTACTCTTCCTGTAACTATGATCATAAACTGAAGCTTGCTGTGCACTGCAAATCAAAGTGAATTATCCCAACCTGAGAGAGTAGCTCCATTCTTTGAAAATTCTTCCCAAAAGTTTGTACCAAAGAATCTGCAGTTGAGTATTTGTTTCTCACCTAGACATTTTATTTTGTTAACTTTCAAAATGCAGTTATAAAATACCACAACATATGATAAATTGGAAAATTGCATCATACAGTCACAAAAAAAAACCTAAAGGAGACAAAACTTTGCATGATTTATACTTAAAAAGGAGGTTACTACAAAGACATTCTGTAGTGTTCAATGCTGTTCTGTGGTGGCATAGAGATTTCAATGAATCAGTGTATTTCCTCAAGAAAGGATGCACACCATTATTAATCTCATGGACCGAATCTGACAACATATTATTTACAAGCAGGACCAAACTGCTAATACTGCAATTTTCAAAGAGATTTTTGAAACTTACACACCCAAATTCCATTGAAATATGAACATCCAGTTCAAATTAAGTTTCTGAATGTCTCTCACTATAAGTTTCCCAATCCCAAAGCACACTACAATTCCTTTTTCTGAGGTAGCTTAGGTTATTAGATCACCTTTCTCATAGAGCTCTTCCATCGCTCTCCAGGTTTCAGCTCGGACCTCTCGATTGCTTTTACCTGGAACCTGTGCATCAGGCCAGTGAATCAAATAAAGATCTAAAAAAGAAATAGAACCAGACTTCTTATTAAAGTGTCCAAAAATAAATAATCAAACCACATGAGACAGCATTTTCCCTCCAGTGGCCCCTGACACATTATCATGATAATAGTTCCAATCACTGCTCAGTGATCATTACTGGATGTATCCAGTTAGTTGTAATAAATGAATTCTATAACATCACATTAACAGCTAAGGGTAGCAGGACTTGCACATGTTCCACATGCTTAGGTCATTGTAATCAGAATTTCATGGTCACATATGCACTTAATAAACTTTCCACACATAACAAGCCCTGTTTAAATCAAAAGGATTTTGGTCACTGGACTACTGCTTATGAAGTGCTACAAGTCTTCCATTTCACAGAAGATAAATATATTTGACAGTTCTGCAGATATTTTATACAACCTCAGCAGTGGGTCTGTCTTTTTCCTTTCTAAAGAATACTTCCACATATGGATTTCTGTTGGAAAGTATAGCACATTCTTTATACAGATTTTTTTGTCTAAACTTCATGTCAGCCTTTGTAAATTTTTTAAAATTAATAAAGAATATTTTAAGGGAACAAAATTATTCTTTATTACATTTTTTGGAATGTTAGCACAATTTCAAACACAATTAAGATTTACTGCTGATGAAATTATCTCTAAATCATAGAACCTTTTCCTAACCAACCTAAACCTTCCCTGACACTGCTCTATGCCACCCCTTGGGTCACTGGTCACCACAGAGAAGAGACCAGTGCTGCCCCTCCAGCACTGGTCCCTTCTCTTTGTGTGCTGTCTTCCTGCAAGAGAAAAACATTGAGAAATGTACATCTACTGGACTCAGTTCCAAATCAGACTTAAATTTAAAAAATAGTGATTTATAACTCTTTTACAAGTTTGTAGACACTGCTAGACATTCTGAAGTAGAAATGTAGAGATAGTTGGAAAACAATTGCATTTCTATTCAAATTCCAACTGCAGATTAAACAGGTAACTGCAGGTATCCCAGTCAAACAGGTTTTGGCCTTTGCTGCATATATTAGTCCGATGAGAAACAGGAAAAGAAAATAAATAGATGACTGAGATGTGTACCATTTTCTTTGTGCTTCATAATATTCCTTTTCTGGCAGTTCAAATAGAGTTAAGAAATAAAAAAACCTGACTTGTTTTCAATGAGAAGAGTGTTTTGTTCTTTGGCTACATCAATCCATTCATTTGCAGCACTTATTTGTGAAACTACAGATCTTCTTCTTTGGGAATCATGAAAAAAAAGGGGGGGGGGGAAAGGGGAAAAAAGCCTTTTATTCCCAGTTTAAGGGCTACACTAACAATTACTGAATCAGTGGGCTGATATATTAGCTTTCCCCCTCTAAAAGTACAAATTCAACCTTGATTTAAGATGAAAATATACCATGAAATTTGTTACAATACACCGGTTCCAATTTTGGCACATCATTGCAACAAGTAAGTGCTTTATTTACCTTAAAAATCTAATCAGAACAGTACAGAATTATGGACAGCAAAATACATTAGAGATGTAGCAAGGAAAACATGCTTTGGATGTATCACAAAATTTTTTGGATGTATCACAAAATCCACAAGCTACATTTGCACTTTCTGATATCAATAATCCATTTAAATAAAATTTTAAACTCTTAAGACTTTTTAAACACAATAGCTAAGACAAGCCAATAATCACTCATATATAATCATCTGCAATGTCTGGTTTTGTATCCCATTTAAGGAGAAAGTTGCTTGCTCTTTGCCCTTTTATCCATAAAATCCACTTCCAATTCCACATGCAGTCTTGCTGATCACCAATCTATCAATAATTACTTCTTTACTAATTTCTCTGAGAAACGAAGTTGTATTTATTAAAATGGATTTGGATTGGACATGGATTTGGAATATCAATTCTGCGACTTTTAACTGAAAACTAGTACTGGGATATTGATTAAAGCATTTGGTGAGGTTACATTCAAAACTCAGGACTACTCACATTTTGTTGCCAATAAAATTTCCACTGATTTATATCAGATATAAACACAAAGGATTAGCATTATGAATTGCTAATGTCAAGTGCTCATTTTGATCCAAAATTATATATGCTACTGGGGCTACTTACTGCATAGAGACTGACATGTTTGTATTGAAACTTTTTTGCTTCTATAAAGCAAGTGTCATTTAGAAGTAGGTGTAAGTTACTGAGATCTGATGCCTACCTCCCAGAAAAATGGAAGAATTATATATTTTTAATTGCTGCTTGCTATGTTCTCCAAACCAGACTAATAAGAACCGCTTAACTATGCAAAAAAACCCACGTCATTTAGCAAAAATAATCAAACTTCAGCAGAATTTCACCACCAGTTACTTCTCCAAAAGCCTGACTGTTCAGTTAGACACCACAGTGTGGAAATGCTCACTGAAATAGTTACATCATGGATTTCCACAGACACAGATGCATTGTACTCTGCTCAGGAAACTGAAACATTCTCCAAAGAAAGACTTCTAAGAGATTTAATAACTGAAAGATCTCTGGCCTTGAACATCCAAAAAAAAACAATGCAACATATCCCCCCTTCTCTGTAGTAGTGTCTGAGGCCTCTGATGCAAACAAGATTAGCTGTTGGTCCTTTATTTTAGAAAGGTTTTCTTACCAGGTACACCATGACCATATCCTTCCATTATGTTTCTTTCAATTTAGGCTTTTTCATTGAAATAAAAATTACTTCAAATTCCAAAATATTGGCCTTTAGGACTAGAAAGCATCTACTGGATCACAAAGTACAGTTTTCCTGACTGCAAGAAGTGTTCCTGAAAGGTGTGGGGCAAAGGTGCCTTATCTCAGACAAAGAGTGGAATAGTCCTTCTGCCAGTCATGTGTGAAGCACCCCAGCACAGCCAGGACCTTACCTCTACTGCAGCTGTTAGAAAACTTTCCATCATATCTGCAGGCCAATAAAAACAACAAGCACCTCACAAACCAAGCTCTGTGATTTCATCTTTATTTGTACATACATTCACACCCTACACCCACACACACATTTTCTTCTGCTTAAAATATTTTCCCTCCTGGGGTACTGTGAGAACACAAACACTCTTAAATTCCTTTGGGAGGCAAGAAATTAGCTTTAAATCATTGAAACAGCCTAAAGTTCTAGTAATCACAGGAGGTTTTTAAGAACAGACTACATTTTTATTGAGAACACGAGGCTGTGCCTTGTAGCGTGGAAAAAAGGAATCAATATCTTGAGATGCCTTCCAACAATGTATTTTTAGAAAATAATCCTCAATCAAAAAATCCACCTTGATTCACAGTATCAGGATGCACTTGAGGAAGAAGGGAAAAAACCTACAAACAGTCACAATCTGGTTTCATATTTAACAGCTTTTTAAAACATCCTTTGCACACAGTCAGGCTGTAATGGTGAAGTCGTGAGTGGAGGCCTGAAGGTCATTAAATGTCAATGCACAGTGGTGCAGGAAAACTAAAACTAACACCTGAGCTGCTTTCACACAGACATTTAAAATATAATGGCCTATTGCAGCACCTACAATCAACACACTTCCTCTTAACTGGCCATTTCACACATTTAAAAGCCAACATGTTTTTGTGGAAATAAAAGTTTGCATTTCTATGCAAAATCCCTAATACAATATTTTTTTTAAAAGTTAGATTTGACTAAAACAACCTAGTAGTATGAAAAACAAGCCTGACCTTCTATCAAGCCTGAAAGCAAAAATATATTCTGCAATGTTTCCCAGCTGTCTTAATGCTGGGAATCATATTTACTTGCTTTTCTCAACAGTCACTTAATATTGATATGATGTATTTTTGTTTCTAACTCAATCCTTTTTTGTTCTTTTTGTGTTTCCCTCTATTGAACAAGGATCAATGCGAAACAATCTACAAAGTGTTTTGAAGCAATACAGAGTCTGAATTATGATAATACCCTAATTTTATGTGGTTCATCTATGACAGTGAAGCTGCTGATAGAGCATTTGTCCAGCTCCAGTTGGGGATTTGTGATAGGCCAGACTTGCCTGAATGGGACAAACTCGGGACAGTCAGAAGGAAAATAAAATCGTTTATGAATTTGGTAACCCACAAAGCCGCATTCAAGAAGTTACTTCAGAGGTTGGATCTAAATCCCAAGGAATGTATTCTGCTACTGCCAAACCTGTAAAATCTGCTGCCATTCCATATTGGTTTACTGTTACTGCTGGTTGTGGATCACATTTAGAAAATGCAAGGAGGAGAGTATCTGTTACAACCAGTGCCCACAAATAATACAATTTTCCATCATGCCATGGATATATAATCTTCCAGCTCAAAAAAAAAAATTAATCCTGGAACACTGCTCTCCTAGTACCACTTGTCTGAAAAGTGTTCATTGAAAAGGCTTCATAACAAGTATTTTATATGGAGTATTTTACATTTTCTCTTAAAAAGCCATGACTGCTTTCAACAGCTCACACTCCATATACTGATAATGCAAAGACTTATTAATTCCTGTTAGATTATTTCTCAAGTTTCTAATTCAGTCTTTATGGATGGACTGGGTAACTCCTAAGGACCCTCCAGAAAATGAACATAAACAAAGATCTCAGCTGTGCATTTAGCTGCCAGAGCTCCTCTAGCTTTTTCTTTTTGCACTTCTGGACTACTAACTTTCCCTCCAACATAAAGATCTAACATCCCAGATATATTATTCAGGATCTTTCAGTTTTCTTTATAAACTATGTATCTTTATAGAACATGTGAACCCCCACATACTTGGTTAATACTATGGAAGGAATCAGGGGAATTCTGATTTATTTTGATCATATAAATATGATTTAGGTCACCATGGCAGACTAAGTGGTTCAGGAACAACTGTAGGAATTTTTGAGACATCACACAGTCTTCCACATCAGTCGAAGAAAGGTGAAGAAGGAGGGAAGATAGCTGAGAGTATTAAAAAACCAAAACAAAAATATAAAAAATGAGGAAAAATCTAGTATGGAGACTAATTGTGCAGGCAGTTGTAACATTCCTAAATTGCTCTTAGTAATATGTGCAGAAGAAGTTTCAGCTCTTAACACATCTGACAAACAAGTTCTGTTTATGCTATTCCAAGGATTCACTCACATAGTGACAGCATTAGCACATTTCTTGCTCTCAGATATTCTTTTTCTTCTTTTAAACATTTCTTCTTAGGAGAAACTCAGTATTTGTGTGAGCATCTACTCTAATCTACTACCTGAGATAAAAAGAACAACTTACAGTACTAGAAGGAATCACTGCAAATGACCTCTTGGAACTGAGTCAAGTTTTCCTCTCATCAACATTCAGCACCAGTGCCAGAGCAAGCAGAAGAAAAAAGAAAGCAAACAAAATATAACAAGCAGAAAACAGAGAGGAGGAATAATGTTATTTCTCAGTTTAAAGAAGAAAGTCAGGGCTCAAAACTTTTTTTATTAAAGTCTCATTGCAGTGACCTGCATTTGCACAGGAAAAACAAAAAGGACTTTTCATTTATTTTGTATTATTTTGTATCTGTGGAGAAGTTAAGAGATACATTTCCAGAAGAAATGGAGCCAAAGAAGTGCAGGTATCTCAGTCTTTAACAGATACAGGTTTTTCTCTCTTCACCTTGGGAAGTACTCAAGTAAAAAAAGGCAGTGAATACAGCACACAGCTGCCATTGATATTATACATTATTAATTCAGCAAAATTCACTTCCTCATTGAAGTCTGCTTATTGCTAAAATATGCAAATATCATGTTTATTTACAGGTGTCTCCACGCCCGTGACCTGTTGCAAAGAACTAATTGGCATCATTACTGCAACTCTGCCTGTCTAGTAAGGGAGTAACAATATCACATCTTAGGCAACGAGCAGTTTATGATCAGGGTAAATTTACAAATGCAGTGTTAGTTAAGCTTTAATTTTAGTTTTCTAAATTCTTTTAGATACTTCTAACATTTTCTCCAAAAAATATTCCATCAAACAGACCAAACCAAAGGTAGTATTCAGAATTTTGAAAAGTTAAAAGGCCTACGAAGTAAGTTTTAGAAAGAACCCCCATTCCTTGAGGAAAAAAAAAACATCACAGAAGAAACTAGGCATCTTTGTCACCCTGTTGCCAATATATTATTGTAAAGTTTATGAATCCTTGTTTCGTAGGTTTTGGATGATTTTAGCAAAATATAAAACTGATGTAGTTTTTCCTCAAGTAATTTAATAATAAAAAATACTTTTACAAAACATTTGCAACAAGAAAAAGCTCTGTACTCCAAATCGTACACACATGAACTTCCTAGAGAACAAATGGAACAAGAAACCCACAAATGTGTAAATTAAGGCAGAATTTGGTTTCTGTGACCCATCTGTACTACACAAATTTTTTTCAGAATTCATTCATCTTTGCAAGTCCTCCCATGGAAAGCACAACAAATGAGCTATATGTAAAGATTCATACCAAGATATTCAACACCGAGTCTTTCACACGACTCCAAGCAGGCCTTTTTTGTGTTGTCATAGCCATAATCACTGTGCCACAGCTTGGTAGTTATCCAGAGGTCCTCTCTCTTCACACCACTCTCTCTGATGGCCCTTTGGAGGAGGGATTCACAGCCATATCTCTTTGCTGTGTCAATGTGACGAATGCCACATTTCTGCAGGGCATGGACCACCGCGCCATGGGAATAGCCACCCCGGTGGGAAGTACCTAAACACACAAAAGCAGAAGTGAATTGTCAGCAGTGAATTATGAGGGGCATATTTTATCATTGTTTTCAATTGTTATTTTTTTAAATATTGTCACAAAAGCTTCTTATTTAATTTTCATTGCCTCGTAGTAAAGAAACGGGAACCGACTGATCTTTAGGCTTGGAAAATACATGAAGTAGGAGAAGTTGGTGCTGATCAGAAGCAATTCCATCAAAATCAAATATCAAAAGCATTTAACTGCAAAAAAGTAATTCAAGGAGCTAGGCTGGAAATCATCAAAGAGAAAACACATCTTTTATGGGAAATTAGTATATATATTTTAATTTTCATACAGAAGCATAGCAGTTACAAATTAGAGTATTTTAAAAAACCCAAAAACCTGAACAACTTTTAATACCATTTACTTCTCAAAAAGCATATCCTGAAACCTTTACTCTGTTGAACTCCTGGTAGCTTAAAATCATTACTGCATTGTACAATCCCAGGCTGGGCCACAGTGCAGGTGCCAGTCACATAATGTCACATTCAGCAGTAACCAAAACAATGGAATCCTACAAAAGAGTTACAGAATGGGCATGCAGGGAGTTTCAGCAACAAAATCCTGTTACTGTCATTGTGTGGGGATTCACTGGATCTGTATTTTGCATGTCAAGGGGACGGAAGGAGGAGGAGACTCAGCAGGAAAAGCAACCACCAGGAGGACTTCAGATAAAGAACTGGTTGAGAGCAAGGAGGATGATGTTTCTACTTACCCTTTCCTGTTAGTTGCTTTTCCTGCCATGAGCCCCTCACCCATTCACCCTCAGTCCACACACTTCCCACAAACAGTATTTTCTACAGTTTGTTGGAGGAAATGCTCAGTCAGTTCCCAAAGTCACCCCCTTCCAAGCTGATGATTAGTACTTAAAGGCCCTCATGCTGTAAACAACAGGCAGCACAAAACAGCTCCTTCACCGACTTGAGACAAGGCCCTGCACAGTCCTGAACAGCAGCAGGGCTTTAGCCACTGCTAAATCTAAAAAAATAAAGGAATAAAGGACTCCAAAGAATTATTTAAAGTGAAATCTGTACCTGCTCTTACCCTTCTCTTTCCACCCCAAACACTACCTGCACATTATGGAAGTGCCCCTGGCTGGCCAGCCAGGCTGGCAGGAAGAGGCCCCCACTGAAAGCTCCACAGGTGCTGCTCCGCAGAGCCCCCGAGCCCAGCGGGGCAGCAACGCCCAGGAGAGGCTGCAGGACGTTCTCACACGCTTTAGCAACCAGCAGCAATGAGGAGGACTCAGAAAAGTCCAACTTGCATGGAAGGTGAACCAGGGTTTCCTAAATGCTTATCATTTTGGCTCGTTCCTGATCTTAGAAGAAAAGCCAGTGAGTCTTGCTGAGCACTCAAAGTCATTTAAACTAAGATATAATATGGTCTGATCTCCCACCCATACACATCAGGATCATGAGATCCTGCTAAACACAAAAGGACAATTTCCACTTTACATTTGAGGCCAACAAAATGTGGAGTTGGAGTCAAGAATAAAACTCTTGACTTCATGGATTTGAAAGCGATGAAACTATAATACTACATTCCTACAATTCTGACATGCATTCATAAATAATTTACTTTCCAAACATAAACAAAGTTTCAATGTTCTAAAAGACAAAACTTTAAATATTTTTTTCATAGCCACTAATTATGATTTCTAATTGGCTTAATTTCTGAGACAACTAGAAATAAAAGTCTCTACAACATGTTTTACATCAAAATAAGCTAAATCAAGCTACATTCAGCTAAGTCAAGTTGGTTTTCAAAATAGCTATTTCAAAATCTTCATGAACGTTTAAGAATTTTAGATGACAGCAATGCTACTACATTATACTTATGGGCAAAGAAAATATATATGCAATTTTACAATATTGAAATCCTAAAGGAATTTTATTACAAAATTATATAACTAGCACAGAAAAATTACTATATTTCTTCACAACAAACCCTTCACTTTTAATATGCTGGTACTGGTGCAAAATAAATGAGGTTGTAACTATTGTGTCTGTTTCTGGCTGAATGGACATTTCTAAGCACAGAATGAATGGAGTTCATTTAGAGGTCTTGCAAATGGACTCAGACTCTTTTCATGCATAATGGATTTCAGTAAGAACATTTAGGACAAACAACTTTTTTTTTTTTTTTTACATTTAACCCTTTAAGTTAAAGGGAGAGAGTGGTTAAGAAACAAAAATCAGAATAATTTTGTTATTGTTCCCCATTCAGTGATGGTATGCACATTTGTTACACAAGAAATAAAGCAGCAAGATCAGTCTGGAGGAAATTATCTCAATTTCTATGCCTAAAAATGAACTACAACAGTCCTGGTGCACTACACAGTAATCAAAAAGAAATCAACAATTACTTAATATTACCACTTTGCAAGCCAACTTAATCATGAACAATAGGTTGATAAGTTAATTATGCTACTAATAGAACACTTCTAGACTTTAGAAACCACAGTTTTCCTGTGTTTACACAAGTGATCAAAGAAGTTACAAGTCATAGATGCAGAAGGATAACGAAAGTGAAGCGACTGAACTTTCTAATTCTTTTTCCATTAGAAATTTAAACAATGCTATTTGAACACATTAACATTCTCAGATGTTTGGGATTCCCCTTTGCTCATAGAGATGTAATTCACACTGCACATATATATTAAAAGACAGAATCCAATCACGCATTTAAAACTACTATGAACCTACACCCTTTCCATCTCCTTCCAGTTTCTAAAATTATTTAATACATTTTTTCCCTAGAATTTGCTGATAAGAAATAGGAGCTCCTTTCAAGAAACTATGTCAAATACCAGTAAGTTTGGAAAAGCTTCCTATTTTTTAGCTAATATTTTAACTTCTTCCCTAGGGAAATAGCACTGTCACTTCACTGACTGAACTAAGCCAAATTTCACAGATTGCAAAACATGCAAGACAATTACATTTCTAGGGATTTTGTGAAAAATTGGTGTTTGTACGGGACAAGGATACTGCAGTGAAAATATGGATAGGTCAGAGGACACAAATCCATGGACAGCAGGCTTAACTGGTTACATTGTTATTTTGTCACAGTTACTCATCACTATCCCGGTACCCTGAAGAACACTGCCATCAAAACTGGAGTGAGAAAATGCTCTGACAATCTATAAAATGATACAAAGATTATTAGAAAGGCAGACTCCTGCTCACAATGCAGTTGTTACAGGGGAAAAAGCCCCAACATGCCAATCAGCAACACCACCCCCAACCCCTCAAAACCAGAAAATCAGCAAAATCTCCACCCCCGACCCCACCAAATATGTAAAACAAGTAACAAACCACCCGCTATCCCCCCTCCCAGATTTATGCACAATCAATCTCAGCTCTCAGCCTCATTAAACTTTCTGTTCTCCCTCACAAAGCTGTAGAACTACAGAGAGAGATCCAAAGCACCAACAGTTTTTCAAAACAGAACCAGGATCTGCTTTCTCTCCCTGCTTTCTCCCTCCCTTTGTGGCAAAGTGTCAAGTTTTTTGTGAAATGTGAAACAATTATTCATTTGAACATATAAAAATTCCAATGATATGAATAA